GTCCGTATGAGTGCGTCGATCTCAGAAGATACAAAAGCTAGAGAGCTGAAATTTTGTATGCATACTCTTGTATACCATACGCAGTACATGTTTGTCTTTTTGTCGATACATCATTCGATAACTTTTTTATCGAGAATAATCGAACAATTTATTTTGTTTTTTTTTTCCGCCTCATTAGAACACTTTTAGACCTGGAGATTTCAGATTTAATGTGTATATACATATGATGAATGCAAACATTTTGCAATTAAAAGATTTTATTTTACCGTTATGATTACGTCCTGAAAATTTCAATTAGATTGTCCGTCTACAAAAGAAATATATTTATCAAATAAATTCTCATATTATTGCCCACACTGCAGCGCAGACGCCACTTACTGTGCATAAAAGAAGTGCTGAATGATTAGAATATCAGCTTGGAGTGTTCAGGGTATCTCCTAGTCGAGCAGCCTCTACTAGAGCCTTCTTACTTGTTCTCCATGATGCATTTTTATTACAGCAGCGATAATCGTTTTACTTCGAACGCAGCGAGACGCGATTGTCTCGTTGTTACAGCTCTTGTCCTCAGACTAAAACCACGTCCGCAAAGCTCCAACGCTCATGCCTACGTATATTCTCTTTTTCAAATCACAACAACAATCGCGCCATACTCGGCTGAAGCATCTCTCCCGCTCTCGAGCCTCGTTCTCGGCATAGAATTTACTGCTAACTGTTATTCCTCTTTAGTCATTTACTTTGCTTCTTGCATTGTATATATTCCTGTATGTATGTAGTAGCGACACAGTCTCACCACTATGAAGTTTTATAACGTCGCAAAGAAGAATTGCATCATCACGCGGCAACGCACCAATACATTGCTAGGTCATAAAAATTTCACTTTCATGTTATCATAACATGCTCTTGTTATGTTAAATTCCCATGTTAATTACATGAATCTCTGACACGCATATGTACATAAATATAAAGCAATATACCCTTTTAATTTAGCTATAGGGTATGCAGAGATCGAATCTCTGATAGTTTAACCATTTTGCAATCTCATTTTCAGTAACTTATCGAGACGTTCGGCATTGCATCTGAGCGAAGAATGCTTTGCACTCTTTCAAATTGGATTTCTCTTTCCACGGAACTCGGTGTACAAGCGGAAGATTGATTCGATGATAATGATAGCCCAGGAGAGTGGACTGATGATCAAGCTGGGTCATGAGGTCAGCTGGGCCATGCAGAGGTCGGCCACGGGACGCCTCTTGCAGGCAAGCACCACTTCATCGCTGCGAGAAATCATACAGGAAGAGCGTCAGTTGACTACCGCTGACACGGAGGGCATGTTCCTGCTGATGGGCATTGGATATTTAATGGGCGCAATCGCACTCGTTTCCGAGATCGTTGGCGGCATCACCAATAAGTGTCGGCAAATAATAAAGCGCTCACGCAAATCCGCCTCCAGCACCTGGTCATCCCAGCACAGCTCAGCCGTTGTGCGCACTACAGCCGAGCAGCAGGCACACGACGTGCGTAAGGCGGCACGTCGGCATGCTGCCGAAGATGCCAATCAACGGATGGGATTCGGAATGCGAGAGTTCAATCTGACACGCACAACGCTGCGCGAACTGTATAATGCCAACAGGTCGGAGACCCAGCCACTGCAGCTGTGCGATTCACACCCATTGGATGCAGCTCCTTTCTCGTCGATTACCATCAACGAGGTGCCCAGTGAAGTGTATGACACCTTGGACGGTCTTGATCAGTTCATAGCCCGACTGGAGTTGGCCGATGGACAGCAAAACACCGAACTTAGCGAAAGCGATATTTCCAATGGAGGACTCGACATCGAGCCAGAACACCACATTGATTAGAGCTCGCAAACGTCGTGACTTCAACACAGAAAAAGCGCTAGAGGATATTGGAACTCGATCAACAGCAGCCCACGTCTTATATTACTATGTGTTTTAAAGTAAAACCTTAAATAAAGAAATATTAAAACGACCTATTTATTTTTTTATTAATTGGCCTTTACTTGCATTGGGCTTCTTCGATTCTCCTCTCAACCAACATACTTGATTCTCCTTTACCTTAGTCAACATTTCCCTTAACAAATGAAAGTTTTTTGTTAATTTTTATAAATTTTTTAATTTTCATGAAATTTACTTTCAGATATATATCTTTTCGATCAGATTGCCTGCTTATACCCTAGGAATATGTTCGCGTTGCTGCGCATTCGATTCATCAAACGAAGCTTTGTAAAGTCTATTAAAGCGTCTCTCAACTACGAGTAGGAGAGAGACGGATAAACACTGGAGAATATGCTCAAATGAGATTTATCATGAAAAAAAATTAATAATATTAATTATAGAATTACAATAGAGCACTGAACTAAAATTAAAGCTATGCTTAATGAATGTACAAATTACAGAATGTTTTTAAATAGACGTCTATCGGTCGAAAGAATGCATGCGAATATGTTAGAGAGACATAGAAAACGAAAAGGAGAGTGTGTGCAAGCGAGATAGTGAGCAGGAGAGCACTCGTAGCTGTTTAGACCCCTCGATTTGGCAAGTCCTTCACTTTGTAAATGCGCACTAGCCAGTGCTCAGTAGTATAAGCCTCTTCGAGTACATCGAGCTCAAAGTCCTTGTTGCCGATCTCAGCGGCGCGCACGCGATCATATCCCTGCGCTTTGCCGCCCTCTGTATACATTTGCCCAAACCGATAATAGCACATCTTGTACATGAGGCAATTTAGCAGGGTGGGGGAGCCCTCTTTATCGACTCGGAACTCGCCATTGGCCGCATAGTAGTCCTTCTCTTTGATGTGCGCGCCGCGATCGGTGCTGCCACCAATACGCACCATCCACAGGAACTTATTGATATCGTCGGACGAGTAACCCGTCAGTCCACCGAAAATGACCAGCACATAATCAACGTCCAGCTCACGCATAATTTCGTATGCCTTCTCTTCAGATGAGGCCATTGCCTGGCCCACACGAGAAATATGTGTATTGTTCCAGGTGTTGTTGTCAACTAATATCGTTCTATTCGCCATTGCTGTTATTTGATAGCCGTAATCCCACCAGGACATGATGCGCGCATCCTAAGAAATACATTATTGTTAGTATTTTGCAAATGAAATACTTAAGAAACTGATTCCGCACATTCAGCAACATTTTGTTAGTACTCATTATGTTTCATACTCTTCCTATCAAGAATATAACAATTGTATTCATCAGCTGTGCGCAATCTATCTTTCTCTCTGTTTCATACTGAGCCTACTCACTTCAGGCGTATTCATTTGCAGCCAGTAATAAGCCTCGCGGAAGTCGTCAAAGATGATGCGGCCGCCATCGTGGGAGCGTGCGCTGAGCACAATGCTTGGAGAGGAGTAGGCCTCAGAGGTCACCCAAGTACAATGGAACGTATAGACGATAAGCATCAGCGTTATTATGGAAACAAATCCAATGGCCACCTCACTCTTGACGCCGCCTGTTTGCTGTTCCAGTTTTTTATGCTGTCTTTTGCTTTCTGAAGCCAACTTTGCACCACCTGCGTCTACACTCTTGATGTATTTGGCCAGCAGATGAGATATGGCAATGCCAGACAGAATACACATCACGGGCGCCAACACAAGCATTAGACGCACCATGACGCCAGCGAAGTAAATGCTGGTCACGCCATACAATATTATAAAGATATTGGAATCTGTTAACCGCGCGAAACAGAAATAAAGGCCAGCGGGAAATAGGAAGACAAGAATCTAAAATGGAAAGGAGACTCAAATTAATAAATGGTTTGTGAATAGACTTGACGGAAATGCCGTTTCATCAGCGATCAAAGTGCTTGTAATCAATGAGTACATTAAGGCGCTAGTCATTAATATCATGTTTTGATGTCATCATCTGATTAGATGCTTTGCTGCAAGTAGCACAATACTTTACCTGCAGATCGAAGTAGAATGATGACCATGATGTGGGCTGATGCTCCGACACGGACGCAATAATTGGAATATGATTCTTGGCATAAGATGGATCCAGCAACGAGTAAAAACGACCCGTCCAAGGCGACACCTTACCCGTTATCGTCAACACGGTTCCAATAATCAATACCACGCTTATCACGCTCGAAACCAGGGTTTTGAATAGAATTTCAAAGTGATCCTTAGGCATACGCGAGCGTAGATAATCCACAAAAGCGTGTATCTGGCATAGACCGAATACACCCAATGCCTGAAAGAGATCAAAATGCAAAAGATGAGCTCAAACATAGATAAGAATAGGTAAAACTAGTAAAACACACTTTTTTAATCAGATTAGTATATAGTACTCATTATGTTTCATACTCTTCCTATCAAGAATTACATAAATATTCATCATATTGCCGAACCAAACAAAATCTAATTGAAATTGTGTGACTTACCAACATGTGCTCAGAGCTCTGGATGGGCTGAAAGCCGACAAACGAAATCTGCATGGAGAGAATAGTGCCAACGCAATATAGAGTGCTATATGCGATATAAATGCGGTGCGAAAAACGCCCAGTAAACATCAGTGCAATCACATGAAGCGGGATGAGATTGATGAGGAACACATAACCACCCCACGAAGAGACCATGTAGAAATAGGCAAGCGCTGACACTGCCGACCAAAATATGGTGCCCGTTTTCACTGCCTTGATCCACAGATAGTAGGTGAAGAGCATGCAGAATATAGCAATGCCTTCGTTGTCATAAGAACCAGCCACGGAACGCGATATGTAGCCCGGTACGATCGATATAAGCGCTGCGGCAACCAAACCGGCGCCAGTGCTCTGCAAATGTTTAACAATACTCTCAATTAGATTCGCGCACGTGTTTGGTCTTAACCTCAATATATGTACATATGTACGATCGAAGTGGTACTCACGTGTATTTCCTTGGTCAGTGCATAGGTGACAAGAGTCGTGAGCGAGGAGAAGAACGGTGCCAAAAATACGCAGACATTACGTATGTCAATAGTTATGTTTAGCAACCACATGAGCCTGTATAGTGCTGCCGAGGTAACCATCAATCCAGGGTAAATTGTGCCGCCAATGATGCGGCCCAGGGGATACCAGGCACGATCATCGAACCAATTATGGAATTTGTAAAACCCTTGTTCGGCCAGGAACCGCGTGGTGCGGTAATTAAAATATGGATCGAATTCATGAATAACGCTTTCAAACCGTAGCACGGAGAACAAGCGTGTGGCGAACGCTACAAATGGAAAAAGGAAGAGGATGCGAGCTATAATCGATCGTACAAAACTTCGCTCCGATAATTCGATAATAGTTTAGTTATATTTCACACTGCTGATTATCTCGATACGATATATCGATATACAATTGATTCTCCAATTTCACATATACATATGAATTTAAACATGCGCAACTACCTACATATATACACACTAGCTGGTCGCAACGCCCCCGCAAATACAACTTAACATTTTGCAAAAAACTCACATAAGACAGCGGCCAAAATAAGTATTGCTAGCTTAACAAGATGCTCTCGTTTTTCCCATGTTAGGAATCCCCGTGCTTTTGTCGCCGCACCGCTGCTTCCACCGGTAATATCCACGGTCATGGTCGATGTTTGCGTTCCGGTATTGGCTGATTCTCTACTGCTAAGAAATGCCGGCGCGGCTTTTCAACGTTAATTAGTTTGTTGTCTAGGTCAAACTACACGCAATTCCACACAAGGGAAGGCACATTAAGTACAACACAATTCTTCACATTACCTGCGCTCTTTACAATACGCAGAACGGCTTAGAAAACAAGATATATGAAAATAAATATAGCGCAGCTTCGTGGCACCCTAAAGGAAAATTCGCTAGACGCTCGACTTTTGAGCAATATTATCGATAAGTTCGTGCATGTACCGTGTAATCGATGATTCTTACTTTTTAGCAATCACAACGATAACTGAATCCATGAATTGAGCGCCGATCAGATTTTTTTCTTCTGATTTGTCCAATCAGAAATGCAAATAATTTGTATTTGCCTATTGCATGCCAAGCATATTAGTATATACGAAAACAAGTGAATCGTTTCTTTTGCTTACGCATATTTTAAAATTAATAAATGTATATACAGACATACATATGTACGTTAGCATATTTACATACTACTGCTTGCGAAGCAATGCTTTACGGCCGTCCCGCAAGCATCTCGCACTATCCTAGCCACCACGCAACTTGCACCTTGTATTATTAAAACTGTTAATAAACGAATAAATATTTACATACTTGGGCATGCTTAAATATATTAATGTATATGTATATACATATGTATGTATGTATTACTGAGAGTTGGTAGCTCATATAATGTTTGTGCCCTGTAGCACTGACCAAACAACACAACACTTTGTACTACATGTCTAGTCTATGTGTTGTTTGGTCAGTGCCTGTAGGTATATATGTAAGTACATACATACATATATAATTACATATGTATGTATGCATGTTATCGTATGTCGAAAATTTTAATGTTACAGAAGCTTTTTCTTAATTTTTTTGTTATTGTATGTTAGTATACATACGTTTAAGTTCAAATTTTCCGAAACTAGAGCTAATTAGTTGTTACTTTTTGCGAGTATGTACATGTACATACACACATACATACACATTTCATTTTTCATTGAAATCTCAATTTCTCAAAAAGTCAACATACGAGCATTTCGCGGGAATGCGACGATATGTACATGTATGTATGTATGTACATACATATGTATACAACTCTTATCAAGATTTAGAAAGAGAAAACTATTTATGTTCCATTATACGTACACCAAAAAATTTACGGCAAAAACCTTGTTTTTATATTACAGACGCGTTTTGTTCGTGGAGTGCTGATTGCAAGTGATGAATTGTTATAACACTGATATACACTATAGGAAATACGATCAAACATTTTAAAAATTCGCGCGCCCAGTTTGATACTTAGTTTTGACCGCTTTGAGAATTAGAGCTGGAGAACCATCGATAGTATCGATGAAACTATAGTTTTCGATACATCGATGGTTGATATATTAACAATTTAATCTTGTCATTTTTATTTGTATTTATGTTTACATAGTAACTATTGCAAATCAAGATTGTAGCGAACAAAAGCAATCTGTTTCCTCTATACTGACAGTTCCCCTTTTAATATGAAAAAATTTGTCGCTACGTAATATTAATATATTCTGGGATTTCTTAGACATACTTACATATGTACATAATGTTCTTTTTCGAGTCCATCTGATAACGCCGACGCCCCCATAACCGATCACAAGCTACACAAAATGTGTGTCGTGTGTGAAAGCACTGGTGAAAGTGAATGGAGCTTTTAATTTTTTATATGTTTTATATTACTTGTTAGGAAACAAGTGATAAAAACGCTTTGTCGTGTATTTTCAAGAAAACTGGAGTTAATGTACCAGTTTTGTCGAACTTTAGCATACATAGTATGTGAATATGCATTTAATGTGTATGGAATGTTTCGATGTAACCATCGATAATATCAATAGTTTAAACCATCGTTGGGAAAACCATCGAGAGTACCGTCTCTATCGATGATTCTCCAGCTCTATAGAAAATCATGTGCATAGTATGTGTCAGCTGTTCGTGATGTGTCATACGTGATATCGATATTATTATGCTTTCAACAATACTATATGAGTCTCTCACAATTTAGTAAAGAACTATTGGTTGGCTTTATCAATCTCTCTGCACATGTCGTCACAATTTAAATGTTTGTTTACAAGTTATATGATATATTTTAAAAGAATAATTGAAAGCCATGCAGAAGTATATATAAAAATATAGTTTTTTTCATTTCTCTAAACAGTATGTATTCACAATAAATTGTGTAAATTCATATTTTTACAAATACTGTTAAATATTCTGGTTTGCACTTTAACCGATCAAGGTTCTTCAAATTTAAAATGACATTAACGAATAGTCAATCATTTTTCGGCGGCTTATCGCTCGTGCCTAAAACTATTACGTTGTGACGTCACATCAACCATAATTTACTCTCTCTAGCGAATGCCGACAGCGGGACCTGCGCAATGCAATAATCGTATTCATTAAGCCGCGGTCGTCCGGTCGTCGTTGTCGTTGCTCTCGCGCGGACGTCGTCGCTGCTCTGCCGACTTATTGTTATTGTTTTTACTTTAAAGTGATAGTGTTTTTTTTTTATTTAGCAACTCAAGCCACGCATTGGCTCCAACTGGTAAATTTAATATGTAATTGCAATTAACCATACAGTGTTTTCATGGGAACCTACCCATGTGCATGTGCGTTTGTGTGTGTGTTAAACAGAAATTGTTTTTTTGCAAGCCCAGCCATATACTAACTTAAAAATACACACACATATATATACAAATAAAAAAATATATACATATGTAACTAGTTAAGATGTTAAAATGTATGTACATAACCTAAACGAAGGGCATTCGCCGCAGCAGCCGCATCAGCAGTTAACAACAATGTTGTGTTTGTGATACATACATATGTATGTATATGTATGTACATAAACGTATTTGTTGTTACTTGTTCTGTATACTTTTTTTGTAACTCAGAGTAAGTGTGCATGCGAGCATATATGTACATACATGTATATGTATGTATGTATACATATACATATATGAACTTACACTGTTATGTATTAGAGTAAATTGTAATAATATCGCTTAAATATGTCAACTGTTATGCAGCGCAGGGAACCGCCTACAATTAAAGCAGCACCAGCAACAACAGTACGAACCGCAACGACTTAATGTGGTAAGTTGACAGAAGCATATGTGGGTGCGGGAAAGGGGTGTCTCCTCTGTAGTGCATGGCAAAAAAATAAAAA